CTAATAGAGTTTGTTTTATAAATCTGGCTGCTCCAACATTGGGTGCATATATATTTATGATATGTCTTGTTGATGGATCAATCCTTTTATCATTATGTAATGGCCCTCATTATCTTTTTTTATGGTTTTTAGTTTAAAGTCTATTTTATCAGATATAAAAATAACTACTACAGCTCGTTTTTCATTTCTGTTTGCATGGTAAGTCTTTTTCCATCCTTTCACTCTTAGTCTATGTGAGTTTTTATGGGTAAGGTGGGTCTCTTGAATGCAGCCTATAGTTGGGTCCTCCTTTTTAATCCAGTCAGCCAGTCTGTGTCTTTTGATTGGGGAATTTAAGCCTTTTACGTTGAGTTGTTATTGAAAAGTATTGATTTAATCCTAGCATTTAATTGATTTTTTGTTTGGATGTCTTAGGTGTCTTTTGTTCCTTTCTTTCTGATTTACTATTTGTTTTCTGTATTAGTTGGCTCCTTGGGTTGTAGATAGCCTTTTTGTTTGTTTGTTTTCTCTTCATGGATGCCATTTTTATTATACTAGTGGGTTTTGATTTTTCTTCAGTTTTTATGGCAGCGGTAGTTGTTTTTCAGGTACCAAACCGAGTACTCCCTTGAGAATTTCTTGTAAGGGTGGTCATGTGGTGGTGAACTCCTGCAGTTTTCATTTGTCTGAGAAGTATGCTATTTGCCCTTCATTTCGGATGGACAGCCTTGAGTGGTAGAGTATTCTTGGGTAGCAATCTCTGTCTTTTAGTATTTTGAATATGTCATCCCATTCCTTTCTGGCTTTTAGGGTTTGTGATGAAAAGTCTGATTGGGGCTCCCTTATATGTGATTTGACACTTCTCTCTTGCAGCTTTTAAGATTCTCTTTTTGTCTTTGAGTTTTGCCAGTTTGACTATAACATGTCTTGGAAAAGACCTTTTTGGTTTGAATACGTTTGGGGATCTTTGGACTTCCAGAATCTGAAGATCTGTGTCTTTTCCAATAACTGGGAAGTTTTCTGCTACTATTTTGTTGAATATGTTTTCAATGCAGTTTCCTTTTATTTGCCCTTCTGGAATACCCATGACTTGGATATTTGAGCTCTTAAGGTTGTCTGATATCTCTCTTAGATTTTCTTCAATGTTTTTAATTCTTTTTTCTTTTTATTTGGTCTGCCTGTGTTATTTCAAACAGCCCATCTTCAAGGTCAGAAGTTCTCTCTTCTGCTTCTGCAAGCCTGCTGGTTAAACGCTCTGTTGTGTCTTTTATTTCACTGAATGAATTCTTCAGTTCGGCAAGGTCTGCTACTTTCTTTTTCAGGGCATTGATTACCTTGTACATTTCTTCTTTCAGATCCTGTATACTTTTCTTCATTGCATCATGTTGTCTAGCTGAATTTTCTTGTATCTCATTCAGTTTCCTTAGAATTATCACTCTAAATTTCTTGTCAGACATTTCAAGGGCTTCGGTTCTATAGGATCTAGAGCTTGAGAGTTATCACCCTTTGGTGGTGTACTTTCTTAGTTTTTCATATTTCTGGTATCTTTCCTCTGATGTTTAGTCATTGTGGCAGGGGGTTTCACAGTCCACTGGTTTGACAGTATTGTCTGGCTAGGATGTAGCTGGGGTTGCCAATTTGGTATGGCTACCTCAGTGTCTGCTCAGTTGGCCACTAGTGCCTTGTGTGTGTGGTTGCCTCGGGTCTTGGGCCTCTCTGGGGAGCCACCTCTCTGATCATGCACTCGGCCGGGCTGCTGGGTCACGTACCAGCACCACAGGGTGTGTGGTCTCTGCGGAGCTTCTGCCTCCCTTGCTGGATGTCTTCCTGCTCCGTGCACACTAGGCTGGGCCACAGATGGAGTCTGTTGGCAGTGGTGAGGCCTACCTGCTGGGTTGCTCACCGGCACCTCAGGGCGTGTGGTCTCTATGGAGCTTTAGAGGCGGTGAGGCCTACCTGTTGGGTCGCGTGTTGGCACCGCAGGGCATGTGGTCTTTGCGGAGCTTCTGCTTCCCCTGCTGGACGTCTCCCTACTCTGCATGCACTGGGCTGGGCTGGGAATGGAGCCAGGTGGCAGTGGTGAGGCCTACCTGCTGGGTCATGCACCGGCACCGCAGAGCATGTGGTCTCTTCGGAGTTTCCGCCTCTCCTGCTGGACGTCTCCCTGCTCAGTGCACACTCCGAATAGCTGTTATTGAAATAAGTTCCCATCTTTTCTCTTTACAGTTTTAATTCCTTGGAGCAGAATTATAGCCCACATGTAGTAAATTAGAGTGCAGACTCTGGAGTCACACTGCATGGATTTAAATTCTGCGTTTACTCCTTATGTCAGTGTGTACTTTGGCAAATTGTTTATGTCTTTGTGCCACCTTTCCCCCTTCCATAAAATGGGATAATCCTAGTACTTTCTTCATAGGATTATTAGCAAGGTTAAATGAGCTAGCACGTGCTGCAGCAGTGCCAAGCACGTAAGACGTGGTTAATAAATGTGAACTTTTGTATGACATATTGCGGTTGTTCACGTGTATGTGTGTGTGTGTTTTCCCTTTTGTATATTGCTCTTTTTATTGTCATTTCCTTTGTGTTGTTACCTGTCTGATCTTTCTCCCACATTCATTTTTCTTTCAGTGAGGTCTGCCAATCCTTAGTGAAACATAACTCTGGAATAAAAGGAAGTTTACCACTACAAAAACTGCATCTGGTTTCACGAAGTATTTATCATTCACATCATCCTACCTTAAAGCTTCGAAGACTCCAATTAAGGACATCCTATCAGCAGTTCTCTTCTCTAACTAACCTTCCTTTACATAAATTGAAACTTTCTCCAATTAAATATGGCTACCAGCCCCGCAGGAATTTTTGGCCAGCGAGATTAGCTGCAAGGCTCTTAAAACTTCGATATCTCATACTAGGATCTGCTGTTGGGGGCGGTTATACAGCCAAAAAGGTAAGTTTAACTTTCGTACGGTTTTTCCAGTTATTCCAGCATGATTATTTTAAGTTTTTATAGAATGTCATTTTTCTTTAGTGTAGTAGAATTTAATTAAATGTTTAAACATTTATTGTATGTCTCTACTGTTTACTAGATTGTTTTAATGGCATTAATAGGAAAATGCCTTCTGAATCTTAGTTTTAAGTATAGGAGATAAAAATGCCCTAGTAGAAGGAGCACTGAGCTGGGAGTGAAAATGCCTGGGTTTGGTTTTGAGCTTTGCCATTTAGTAACACAGATGAGAAAGTTAGGTGGCATGCTCACACAGCCACTTTTTGGCAGCTCTGGGACCAGAGGCAAGGTGTCCTGTCTCCTGGTCTGTTTTATTTCTAATCCACAGTGTTGTTTAAAGCCAAATCATGAAACTTGTTTGAAGTAGTAGTCCATTTTGAATTTCTACATTTTTCATATTTAGTAGAGAAGTATTTACATGTCTTATATGCTTGCTAGCTAATTTGTTTTTAGAAGAGCTGAGGCCACTTAAATTTTTTTTTAATACATCATCACTCTTAGTAGATTAATGTTTTAATAAAATAATATTTATTTACAGTTTTATGTGGCATTCAGAGCATCTGATTGACATACTTTCTTATCTTTCAGACTTTTGATCAATGGAAAGATATGATACCTGACCTTAGTGACTATAAATGGATTGTGCCTGACATTGTGTGGGAAATTGATGAGTATATCGATTTCGGTTTGTATCATCACCAGGAAAATACTTTTTTGGACCATTTCTTTAGGAAAGAGAAATAGTTGCATTGGGATACTTTCTTAACTTGTAACCCTAATATACAACATTGTATTTTAATGATAAAAGTAATAGAATATCAAAGGAAAAATTTTGTACAAAAAAGGGTGTCCAATAGTCCATTACTTTAAAATAGCTGCCACCGTCCTTATGGAGCATTTTCTTTTAATTGTGCTTATTATGTGAATATGGTTAATATTTTAGTTTTTCCTTTTAAAAAATTATAGTCATAGTGAACATACACTTTGGTATCTGTCTTGTCTTTTGCTACCTAACACATTTTGTTAGCATTTCCTTGCTGCCAAGTAGTCTTTATAAACATCAGTTTTCAGCATTGTGTAATGTTGCCCAGAACATATGAGCGTGATGCACTTACCTAGCGCCTTTTGATTGGATACCTTGGTTACCTCTACTTTTTGTCTAGAGTGATTTCTCCCCTTGGTCAGCCACTCCCCTTTTTAAAATAGGTAGATGAGAAAAAAGTATATTTGATAACTATGACTGCCAGTAATTCATGGTGCTCTTTTAAAAAACTTTTTGATGAAATTATTTTCCTCAGTCCCTTTTTTTAGACATTATCCAATTTCTTACCTAAGGTATATATAGAAGTAGAATTAATCTCTCCATGTACTTATTTACAGCACTTTTTAAAGATAAAACTGTGCTATGTTGATGAAGGTATTTGCGGGAAAAGCACACTTTTCAAGCCCTTTTTCTAATACAAGTATTCATAAGAGCTTTTCAACTTGATATATTTGCTAGTATCACAGTGTAGTGGCTAAGAGTCTGGATCCTGGAACTAGACTGCCTGGGCTTGGACCCTGGCTCCCACACCTTCTTGCTATGTGCCCCAGTTTCCCATGTGTAAATGGAGTTAATAATAATAGTTATTTTGTAATGTTGCCATTTATATTGGACACATATCCTTATTTTGAGACTATTTGTTTTGATCTTCCCCAGAAAAAATTAGAAAAGCCCTTCCTAATTCAGAAGACTTTGCAAAGTTAGCACCAGACTTTGACAAGATTGTTGAAAGCCTCAGCCTACTGAAGGACTTTTTCACCACAGGTAAGGAAGGACCTGTTTGATTTCATTAAAATTTGAAGAACCACAGAGGAAAAATACATAGTAGTGTTTGTGTATACCCATCTTTTAAATTAAAACATTTAGTACAAATGAAAATCAGGTTTTTTTTAAAAAAAAAGAAACATAGAGTTTTGTTGCAACAGTGGCTTTTAATCTTTGTTTAGCTCAATAAAGTGAAAATAAGAGCTTAAACATGTTTGGCTTTTAGTCAGTGAAGGAAAAACATATCACTAGTTCTTGACAAGTAGATGAGACTTCCTATGTATTTGCTTTTCATAATTGGTAGAGCCAATTTGGTGATTTTAAAACAAATTTAATTATAATGGACCATAATGAGTAGAATTTATAAAGATTAATCCTGGCATATTTGCCCGGTTACTGCCCTTTCATGATGTAAACCTGAGATCTCAGACATCTTTGTTGACTCATTCCTTCCTGTTAAGTTTTACATTTCTATTTCCCCTTTTGCTGGTTTTTCACAGGTCACAAATTGGTTAGTGAAGTCATAGGAGCTTCTGGCCTACTTCTCTTGTTAGGTGTGTAAACAGACATTTTGCTGACCTTATCATGCCTTTTAAATGCTTCTAATAAACTAGTTGCAAATAAAATTGCAGGCCAAAATTATAATACCGCTTATGCTGATTTTTAAAACCCCAGAACTATATTAGGCAAACTCATTATCCTTTAGGTGGAAATAATAAAATAATTATTTTGTGATAAAAATAAATTACCTAAATATATATGTATGTTATAAGATTAAAGCTATTAAAAGAAAATTTGCTTAGCCAAAATATTTTCTTGAACTAGATCTAATTGTTTTTGATAATTGAAATGAAAAGTAATGTTAGTTTGTCTCATCTGCCCTGTCATAGTTGACATTTTAAATTTGTTTTCCTATTATATATGGTCTGTAATGGCAGAGGTGTATGGCCAAATTGTAAGTACTCTCATGTAAAATAATCCTTAACAAAGATTGTCTAATTTTTTTTATTGCAGTTTTCAGTTATGTATTTTTAAATAGGGTAAACATGCTATAACTGCTATCATATTTTTTATTTTCTACATAGGTTACCAGTAATGTTTCTTAAAATAAGAATAAAAGTGATTTGATACTTTGAACCTGAGTTGCTATAAATATCCATGTACCTTTTAATTAATTAGACATAATTTGGTATTTAGCTTAGTCTGTTGACATCACTGGAGAACTTAAAGGATTTCTTATTTATCTTTAAGGTTCACTTGGAGAAACAGCATTTAGAGCAACAGATCATGGATCTGAAAGTGACAAGCATTATAGAAAGGTATATATAAAAGAGAATTCTTCACATAGTCTTGAAAGATTTTGAAAGTTTTTACCTTTTTAGAAGATTTGAAAATGGTAACATTGGAGGAGCAAATGCAAAAGCATCTAAGTATTACTATTCTTAGTGCAAAATGCAAGGTGTTATGTGGCAGTTCTGGAAATATAATTAGAGAAGCCCATTTCCTTCAAATACATTCTGTGAAATATTAGCTTCAAGGTTGTTCCCAAAAAAGGGTTTTATTGTTAAATATGTGTAGGCAAAGCTGGCTTAGACAAAATAAGCAGATTTCTATTTGCTTCACCAGGACTTCTCAGATCTTACTATATTTATGTGCATTGAAGATCTCTAAGAGGAGTCGAAATGTATAGGGTTTTCTAGGTTTATCAACAGAATGCTTTTCTCATGACACATCATCTAGGGATTCAGTTTCACTTAGGGAAAAACATTAAAGGGAATAGGAAGTGGGTTATTAGGTAGTAAATCAATTTTCTTATATTGAGATTCAACTAAGTTGAGTGTGTATGGGGTTATTTAGAATGTGTCAATTTCAACACGTATGCATTGACAAAATTCATGTGAAAGTTATAGAATTGCTGTTGGGCCAAGCCCGTGGCGCACTCGGGAGAGCGCGGCACTGGGAGCGCAGTAGCGCTCCCACCGCGGGTTCGGATCCTATATAGGGATGACCGGTGCGCTCACTGG